ACAAACAATCTCAATCAATCTCTGTATTTACTCTGTTTTTGCTCTGTTTTGATATGATAACTGTAAAAGAAATTATTTTTACCTTTCGATTTTCTTGTTCTTAGCTTCGGTGTCTTTACAGCTCATGACCCAACCATGAGGGTCAAGACCCATGTCGGCAAACTCATGGAATAATCTGTGGAAAGAGCGGAGGCTCGGGGTGGCGCAGCGGCGGCTCAGCCTGGAAACAGAATCAGCGGTGTGGGCGAGACTATCGGCGAGCTCAGCACAGACGAGGCTGAGATGGAAGGTTTCATCGCCGGCGACGATCTTGGTGAGGCCTTCTAAGGAGAGAGAGTGGTCTCGAATACTGAGGAGGTTTGTGTCGGTTAGAGAGTGAGTGAGATGGAGGAGTTTGGTCATGACACGTGCCACCTCGAAAGATAAAACTCCGACGGAGGAAGCGGTGGTGGTGATCGGAGGAGATGACCGGACTGGTCGACGAGAAGTGGGTTTGGAGGAAATGGCGTTTTTGAGTTTTACTAGGAAAGTTTCGAGAGCCATTGGAGAATGCAAAGCAAAGCAAAGTGAATGATTGTGATTTGAAGAAGGAAATGGAGATAGTGAGATTTGAGATTATAATCTATAGTTTCTCTTCTTCTAGGGGAATAAAAAGTTGATGTGTGAATGGCTCGTGGGGTGTTCAAGCTATCATTACACTTCAGATTTTTAAAATTAAATTTTGGTATTCGAATATTTTTATTTATGGAAATAATAAGGCCTTTTGTTATTCGATTACATTATTTAAATGATTGGAAAGAATGTAAATAAAGATGTGTATATCAACTAGAGTCCTCTTCAGCAATTCTTATTCTATTCATTATTCTTCCATTATCCATATGTACACACATACACTTCTTGACTCTGACCAACACATTTTTTAAACCAGATTTGTTTGTTTTTTACTGAGATATCTAATATTTTGGGTCAAACTTAAACTAAATCATAGAGAATAAAGATAAAAATACTATAAAAATCCATGAAAGAATTCACATTTTAGTTTTGATTGTCTCGTTTCTGTGTTTGTGACCAATATTTTCAAACGAGATTTGTTTGTTTTTACAGAGATATCTTAATCTTTTTTGGTCAAACTTAACCTAAATATGATTGAAATTTTGATCCTCGCGTTTGTGTCTCTTGAAAATGTATATACATTTGAGATCTCCCTGTTTCCTTTTGTTTTATTTTCTTATCTTTTTATATTTCATGTTCGATTCTTTTTGTTCGCAGTGTTTTAGATTTACTCAATATTCTAAGTTTAAGTAAATAATAGGAGAAACTTTGAGTATTTATTAGCAACAAACAAGATTAAAAATTTGGTCTTCATTTTATGTTACATTCTTGTAATTGTCTTTTAATTTGGTGAACAAAATTGGATAGTGTAAGTTAGATAAAATGTATAAATTACCAACACATTCTCCTGTGAGAGATTCAACCTCCATATTTCCTATGTTTATCCAATTATCTTTACTTATAAGATTGATACCGACTTCAAAACATATAAGGGATGATTCTGGAAAGTAGAAAACAATCCTTTACTATAAGTAAATTTTATGAATCAAGCTGGATTCGAAAATGAAGTAGAGTAAGCACATGAAGAGCAAATAAAGGCGTAACAATGGCATTACCATAATCATAATGAGGGTTATTGTTTATAATATTAACGACAATTATAATTAAAATAAGTTGGGGGATGCATGCGAATGCCAACCAATGGAAAGGCAACCATTTGTGAGGAAGAGAAGTATTGTCGTTAAATCAAGAGGCAAAACATATATCCCATCCCATGCCTCATCCTTTCTCTCTCATGTTTTAATAATTTTCTATATAAATTCCAAAATTCTTTTTATCATGAAAAAATGTATTATTAGTGTTTCTGTATTTTCCTGATGATATAGAAAGTCCCTTTTTCAACTTTTGATAATTTAATAGCATATTATATATTAATGTACAATTTTGTTCACTTCAGAGTTTTCTTCTTTTGTATTGCCCATCTTAGCCTATACATAAACATCTAACATCTACACTTTTAATATAATTAATCTTATGATGAGTATATTATAATTCTATACATAATATTATCATATAAATTTGATTTGTTAGATGTTAATTTAAACTTTTTTTGTTTGATAAATATGTTTCTCATATGATGTGAAGATTTTATCTAATTTTGCGTATAAACATACATACACGTATTTTAGTAAAAATCGAATAAAACTATATAAATCCTGCTGATGCACCGGGATTTGTAGTGATTGGAAAAAGAGACATCCCGTCAAATTAGCATGAAAATCCCGATACACACATAATATGCTACATTAATATGTGTATTTGTATACATGCATGACCTTTAGATAGTCCACTTGCGTAATGAATCTATATATAAACGTACATAAAATGGTTAATTGAATACATTCATACTTCAAAAATGAGGAGTTGAATGAGAAGGAAGCTTCGTGAGAGAGTTTGGGTTTATGAGATTTTGAGGACGAATCCCTAAGCGACCGTGTTTTGTCTGCTTTGACCCGTTTCACGATTAGTAATTTTGTCATCTCAAGTAATTTTGTCTGCCATATATATGAATTAATTACTACGTGAACGTGAATTTTTAGAAGAAAAAGATATACGAGAACACTTGAATAACTTAATGTCTTAAAACGTGTTTCATCCATAACAGTGTCTTCACACGCCGCAAATTAGTAAAATAAATAAATATAGTAGATTTTACAAATGAAAACCAATATAGACTAAAAAATGTGTCCAATCATATGTCATAGGCTCACTTTTGAGGAGCCTATATCTTATATCTAGTATATGTTGTAAAACATCTTTGATAGGCCTCTTAAAACTGTGGCACGAACGATTACTTTATGTGGTTGTGCTCATAGTTAGAGGAGACACACAGGATTACATTATGTACCATTAAACCTGATGATACCCACTATTTTTCAATATCAAATTTAAACCTTTCTCTAAATTTTGATATAACCTATAAGTTTGTCTCTGTCAACTCTACATCAGTATGCCATGAACCTGTCAGTTGCACAATCGCCTAACAATAATTAATCTACCAGTTACTAAATTTTCTAAGTGTGCTTCTAATCACCCATAAGAGCATGTGCAACGGTAAAAAACTCAAAACGCATATCTAAACCATTAAATATTATTATTTAGATATAATTAAAATAAGTAATTAATTTTTAACAAATTAAAACTTGACATGTAATCTGCACCATCTCCTATTTTTTTAAGAACCGGTTCTTATAATTTCTAAATAAAAACAGTTTCTTACTCATTTTTTTTTATTTTTTTATTTTTTAGAATCCTTTAAAATTTTCTTAAAAACCCACGTTGCACATGCTCTAAGTAACCATATGAAATTTCTAGCTGTACAGTCGCCTAAAACATTTATTGTCTTGTGAATATATTTTCTGTGTTTGATATAATATGTTATTGTTCTCATTTTACAGATATTTACGCATGAACACAAAAATGATTTCTTTTTTAATTGATGTCAATATGTTTCTTCTGGCATATATATATATATATATATATATAGTATGTATGTGTAGACTGAAAGAGAAATGATGAGAAGAGAAGAAGTGATATATACATATATAGACCCAATCCAATCATAAAGTGATCTATGAGAAGAGGCAAAAGGAGAAATCGCTGACTTGCAACAGTACAGACGCAGTCACGCTGCTAAGCATATCACCAACATTCTCCTTCTGACTCCAATCATTTGTTGTTTTTCCTTTCTTCTTCTTTAACTTTTTCATTATTCGCAAATGTAGTGTAAATTTTTGTGTGTAAAAGGTAAATATAAATCAGACTATTTATTTTCGCCGTTAAGAAAATAACTGACAATAGGAATGTGATCATCTGAATAAAGATAAAGTAATGATACAATGTATTTTTCTGACAATATCCTATGAAAAAACGATAAACTCTTGTGAGAAGGAAGAACAAATCTATACTACAAACCTTTGTGAAATGTATTTATTCCTAAATCTTGATGCAAACAATTATGAATGCGTCACGTAACCTTGAAATGCTGATTTTTTTAGACAATTATGAATGCATAAAAAAAACATGTTCTGATTCTCAGTCTAGACAAGTATACGAATCAAAAGTCTGTAGTTCATCATTTGTTTTTTCTTTTAGTAAAGAATGATTGTAAAAGGTAGATGTTGTAGAGAAATTTTGACATGGTGAGAGACAAAGTCAAGACAATAATGGGTTCATTTGAGCATGTCAAAAGATATAAAATTACCATTACTATTACTTACTAAGTAGTGTCAAATCCAATATTTAAGTCAAAATTTAGTAAGCATGATGTAGGTGTAACTCTTGTTTTAATGGTCCTAAGTTCATATTTTGTTTTTTGCTTGTGGTGCTTTGATATTTCATGTCAAAACAAACACTCATTTGATATTTTGATATATGTATCCCTTTTTGGGCGGTGAAATAATATTTGAAACGTGCCAAAGTTTACAAATTCCCACCACGAAGTGGGTTTTCGGAATTGATCCATAATTTTCTCAAATCAAAATTTCAATATCACAATAGATGATTCCAACAGAGGCAAAGAGTAAAAGGAACAGAAAAAGCAGAAAGTAAAATGATGTTACTTTGGTAGACATTCGAAAGTGAAAACTACATTGGTGGCAGAAAGAGACAACATGTTACTATGATTGTGTTATATTCTATCTTAACTTAGACTTGTATAATTTTACTTTGTTGTACCATTTTGGTTATTTATTTTGAGTGTGTGGAGTGGTGAATATGCGCACGTGTATGCTCCGTGTGTGATGGACACAATTATCACCTCCTTATCAAGCTTGTTCTTTTGCTCCTTCACCCACACTTCAAACTTTTTTACCATTTTATAATCTTCATTTTTTTTTCACTATTTCACTAACCCATTTGCAAGCAGAGAGTCGACACAAGAATCTAAGGTAAAACTGAGCATTCAAAGTAAAGAAAGTTTTCATTGATAAACTGAATTCTGTAATTCTCAAATAAATTTAAAGAAAGTTGTACTTAAGTTGCTTTCCAGATCTAAAGTAAACTGAAGAGAGTCGATAAGAAACGTAACATAATCTAAATGCCACAAAACATTAAAGTTCATGATAGTTAAACCACACAAGTTACAACATCTGTACAACATGAAGCAAAAGACTGCCTTTTTCTTCTCTTCTTTGTTTCCATAGATGAACAACGCATTATGATCTTGACTTTCACAAGAAGCTGGTTCCGACAGAGAGGTCAACAAGATTCGTGAAAATCTGAGCTCGTGTTGTCCCAATCTGGTGAGCGAGTTCAAGCTGTTCCTCCAAAGGAAGCATCTCGTAACTACAAAAAACCAATTTTGAATACTATAAGCCCACGATCGTTTCTATCATAAGGCTGTTACTACTGAATTAAGCATATAGAGAAGCAGAAGAAAACTTACTGGCAGAGTAGCTCACAGTCGATGATGTTGTCAGGACCAGGTCGTCGAGCCTTCCCACTCGACCGGAACTGGCGGAAAGAGCGTGGATTCAGACCCGCGACATGAGGAACAGCATCCACTAGCTTTTTCTGCAGAGACTGTAACCTACGGAACGCGACCTCGTCAAGCGGAGCAATGCAGCCGAAACTTCCGTCTAGAGTAGCAAACAGCAAAGCGTAGCGGTTTTTGTTATCTGCGGTCGAAGATGCAACGGTCTGAAGACGTAGGAACTTCGTCACGTGCGCACCGACGTGAAACTCAGCCCTCGGAAGAAGTTTCAGACCTTTCCAGCTCTCCGACATCTTTGGCGCATAAAAGAAAACCTGTTGGGGATAATACAAAAGTCAACTCAAGAGTTAGGGTGTAACACAATATTTACATATAAGTAAGAGCCTGACGATCCCTATCACGTACACACTAACCTGGCCTTTCTTTGGTTTGACTAAAATTATCTGTTGGGGATCAGTACACACTTAAAGGCTATATAAGAGAGAAGCTAACCTGGACATTTTTTTGCTCATCCGAGACAGCGAGGCTAAGAGAACTTCCATCAATCAAAAACTCTGAAGCAAAGCAATCGAGGGATCCGAAATCTTTGGCTAGTAAGGTAAACGAGGGATCCCTCCAACTAAGAAAGTATATGCTCTTGTGAACATCACAAAGGAGGATGAAATTCTTCACCTGCAAGTAAAAGTAAATTTAACATGTGCAACAAGGATCAAATCATGCAGAAGGAAACTGATACTCAGAGCCAAGCCAAAGTCAGTTTAGTGAAGTTAGCTCATAAAAGCAATAACAGCACTCGGATAAGGGAGTAAGAACGTACAACATTCATGCTCACTACATAGAGCGGTGGAGCATCAAAGAAGGCAGCAACGCTTAAGTCGGTGCCATCCCACTTGTGCAAGTTGATTTTAGGACCAGATGATATTAGAAGATGACCTTGAATGGAAGCTATAGCTGATATAGCACCTTTTAGCTCCTTTGAGTAGACTTCAGTAACCTATTGAAAGAAAGGCTTCAGAATAAACGAACATCCAAGATGAAAAAAGGTAAACAAAGAACAAGCTTCACCAGGTCGTAGTCCCAACTAAACATACCAAATTTTGAGAATTATCACCATTTCTTCCAAATGAGAAAAGAAGCACACGGCCCCTTGCTGCAACATCCTCCCCCTGGACATAGGCAGTTCCAACAGCAAGAAGTGTTTCGTTCTCAGATGTGTTTTTATTCTGAAACATTCAGGGAGTAAGAAGAAAATTAGCCTTGGTTATTGCAATTTAAACAAAGACATTTATTAGATTGATCCCTAAATCTTCAATTATCATGTCAAAAAGATAGAGAAGACAAACATTCATGATGGAGGCAAAGAACAACACTATGACTTTAGGCGGGCTTAATAGCTAACTTACAAAAAGTGAAACAACTCGCACAGTGAGTGCATGTTCTGAGCTCTGCATTGGAATAGTGGCTTTAGTTTCCCAGGGGCCACCAGATCTTTCTGGTTCCAAAATTTGGATTTCAAATTCCTCTATGGTGTATGGTCGTTGGAGATCATCAGAGCTCAGATTATGGTTGTCAATCTGCTGGCCAGTTTCTTGATCAACTAGTGAAGAAATCACTTGATTCGTTGGCTTGCTGACCTTCAAAAATGGAGAGAAACAACGATATTGCTTGTGTTAATAAGATATGATAATAAATATCAAACAATGCGGATAAAGGTAATACATAATTGGCACAGAACTTCATTTCTCCTCAGCAAAAAGAAAACGAATAAACAAGCATGCAAACATTGCACTAGTTCAGGTGTTCAACTATCAAACAAAGCAAATAAGCAGGACGTATTAATATTGCTGCGGCCAAGGAAGTCAGCCACAATCAGGAATATGTGGTATTCACGAATGAAATTCAAAGAGGCGTCCATTTCAATTTGGAGCTCTTAAAACCTAGCTTGCTCTACAAGGGTAACATTGATAATCTGAATTAAGAAGATTTCAAGATAGCTGAAAAGGGTACGACTGGGAGCTGAGCAACACAGTTGCCACATAACCTTGGGAACCTATGAAACAGATTTAAAAATCCAAGTCCATCACCCGATTAATGTTGCCTGTGATGCCTAAATGTCTTAAGAGTTCCAAATTCATCCAAGGCAAACAAAGAGATGCAATTCAAATTAGGTAGCACAATTTAAAACATTTTATCATGCTATCATGCTCACCGGATATGATACTATCAGCGGGTACAAGTTCTTCTCCGCGTAGTAAGTAATTTGGTGAGGCGTGGCCTTCAAAGGAATCTAGACAAAAATATCAGGCATTAACATAATCAGTCCTCATACTTATTATTTTTCTATCTAATCAACATACAGAAGCAGGAAGCAGAGATTATTAAAACAAAAATGGAACTTACCTTTTGCACTGGCCAATAATTATCGTAGATTGATGCTGAAGGTAATTGGCAAATCTTCAAAATTCCCTGGTATATGTCAATATAAGATGAATTATCTTTCAGAGGAATTGATAGTCTAGATGCTACAATAATAAGAATAGAGAAATGAGACGTAGTCACAATATCAAACCTGTGATGTGACATATATGAACCCGTGATTGCAATTCACATTGTGAAGAACAGTAAAGGCCACAATTGGTCCATCGCATAGCTGAAAAAGTGTGATAGCAAAAGATGGAGAAACTTGCTCAAGAGAAAGCTTCGTAGCAAATTTAAATCAAAAACTCCAAAAGACTGAAATCACAATGACACAAAAATCTTCTTATCTTACCTGTGAATGAAATCGAAGTCGCTCTCTGAACAACATACACCATCCTGGCCTTGAGCCAGAAAGAAAAAACCCCTGGTGACCGCTAATATTCTTGAACATGGTAATTCTTTGAGCTGCAACTCCATCTGAAGTCTCCTCTCTTGTAGACGTGTCCAAGGGGATGCGAAGAAATTTCAGATTCCTAAACTTAGAATTACCGGAGGAAATTAAAGCAACAGAGTTTTCTAAAGATACACTATTATCTGCTTTGGTACCATCAACACCCTCAAATAGGTAGGCATGGTAACAAAGAATTGTGCCATCAGCTAATACTGCAAAGAGAAATGGGCGTGTATGATGCCCAGACCATCTTTGCATAGCTAATTCAACGACCTTTGTTTTCGTAGTGTCTTCATTCCTTGCAGAAGTATTTTCCTCAGAGTTTTTGTTGAGTTCATATTCTAACTCATTAATCGGCATATCAGAGAGGTGGCTTCTTCCAGACGCAAATTTATCAACGGAGAAAACACAATTGAAACTAGGCACATCAAATATCTCAAGGGCACCACTTTCGTAACAGAGAACACAGTATATGTCACCCTGATCATGAGGTCCACCATCAGTACTATCAACAGCCTCTCCAACTCCTGACGAAAGCCATGCATCAGTGCTAGCTTTCCTTAGCCATGGTTCTGGTCCTTTATCATGGTACAATGTACAGGCCGATACCTTCCTTTTGGAGCCTTCAAGTATAGATGGACTACTTATGGAAACTGTGCAAGTAGAAGGGTCTGCAATTCAAAGTTTCATATGAGACTGCTTGACTGAAACGTTTCAAGATGCTAAAGATACAAAAAATTACAAGATCAACTATTGCGATAAGATATTCATCTTTCTATAACATACCTCCAACAAGCAGACGAATACTGTCATCTGTCATTCTAAGTAAAACATATGGATCAGCGATTGAAACAGTTGACACAGTGGAACTTTCAGAACCAGAATTGGATTCTGAATTCGGAGCTCCAAATATTAATTCTTGATTCATAAAAGAACCATCCAGGATACGGGCACCATGCTCAAACACCTGAATTACCCGACGCCTGAAAAAGAAAGATGAAAACTAATATAATACTATTTAGTATCCCTTATAGCTGCATGTAGTAGAAACAGCTCAATTACTCAAAAGAAGCCATGGGTAGAGCTTAGTAGACAGCACATAATAAAACAGATAATTGTATAGGAAAAATAAAGCTTCTATAACAAACATATCTCAAAAGTTGCAGCAAACAATAGTTTGGCAGCTAATTACCTTCCAAATAAATTTCCAGCAGCAATTGTTCTTCCCTGAACATAATAGTCCACACTCTCAGTGACTTCTGTGAGAAGGTCAGCGGTTTCAAGTACCTGAAAAGCCAAACATTGAAGGCATTTATCGACAATGGGAGGGTCAAATGGGATACGACCAAAACACAGAAGAAAAAAATACCATCGTGCGAGCCTCCAAACTAATAATCAAATAGGCATGATATTCATCTTCATCAGCGGCCATTTTAGAAGAATCAACGTTATGACCACGGGCGCTCTTGTGATAAACTGTCCATATTCCTTTGCATCCTGGAAGTTCAACCTACACACACACAGAGCATTACTAAGTAAGATCGGATACATCCCCCCTTTTCTACAGTGAGATCACCTTCTCGCACTTTTCACACTATAATTTTCACTTTTCTGTTTCTAGATCATTACTAAACAGATAAATACCCCAGTGGTGGGTAGTAATTGTGAAGGATATAAACCCCAGAGACTGTCCTAAATTCCTAATACCTCCTTCTGTTCAGAGATCACTACAAACTAATGCATCCTATATTCAAATATAGGTATAAGAAATCCTGTCCATGCCACGGTGATGATAGTAAGGGTTTAAACTAAAAGATTGACCAAAAGATATTTTCCCTTCTTCTCATATACCAGAAACAATTTGGGATATAGGCATACCTCAGTAATCATTTCCGGTCGAATTGACTGCCGAAGAACACAAACAGCACCATTCTTGCCATGACCAGAACAGCATACCTAAAGGCCAAAATACAGTTATGAGTTTGGCGTTTACAGTTTTTAGTCAAATACGAGGCAAGCACGTCAACGTTATAAGTTGTGGAACAAAGGATTTCATTGTTAAGCAAAATAAAACTTTAAAAATAGACGTCTCTAAATAACAACCCTAAGCATGTTCTATTCTGCGTAAAATATTTCCACAGCTAGTATTATATAATAACTACTAAACAAACGGCTCACCAATTCATAATTGCTCTGTTTCGAAATCCCAGTGGCGTTTGCATCAGCATTTATCCTTAAGCCGTACGCAAAATCTTTCACTGGACCAACATTAACTAGTGAATCTCTCACTGCAAACGAAAACGATTTCTGCATTTATTGGAAAAGAAAACATGAGAAACATAATGGAAAGGAGAACATAAGCTATGACATAATACATAGTTCAGTTTTTGCTAAGGAAAACTCTTTCTTTAGTAACTAATTTGCTAAAATAATATTCTGTTCAACAGGAGTTTTTTTTTAAATTGAATTATTTGCTATTGTAAGCACATACAGAATGTTTTCCAAGAAAACCCAATTCAAATAGTATTGCCATCTATTGATAGAGAACAAGTGCTTCATTGAGCTTTTTCTAAGAAGATGACCCAATTTCAACAGAATATTCTACAAAACTGTAACCACGGCAGAACTTACTACCTGTGCTGAATCGGAGTTATTTAGTGTCGAACCAAACAACGAAAGCTCCTCATTTCCAATTGTATCTTGAAAAGCATCAGAAGATATCCGCAAACGTTTTGCTTGATGACCCTCACCTTCAATGTCCTCATCCTGCATACAATTAGCCAAGAAATTTTTCTAGTTCTGGATAAACATTTATAATGAAGTTACACTGACCAGCCTAAGAAAGATTGAACTATCACCTCATCTCTCAACCCAGGTAATGATGCTGCAGGCCCAGTTCTACAGGAAAATTGCACCAGTAAACTGTCTCCTAACCGGCTACCTAAAAAGAAAAGGGAATTTCCAACAGTAGTAATGTCCTGCAAGAAATTTGGTAATATCATCTTAGGGATTCTCTAATCAAAATGGATCCAAACTGAAGCACACGTATGCTGAAAGAACATATTGACTAACCGAAGCAAGCACAGAGGCTTTTGATTTGGATAGATCAAGTCTCTGTACAGCACTTCAAGAAAGAAACTAGCAGTCAGTTCCACATATTATAAACAAAATAAGTCGGCAGCATAAATTTTAAAAGAACATCAAAATATTACCGCCCATCATATATAAGAGTGAGCAGTAACAATTCCCCAGATTTTGATGACAATAGGGCCACATCGTTCGATATCCAGGTTCCATGGGCAGCATCGAGTTCCACACTGAAATTCGATGCAGGCAGTTCTTGACTGAAAGAAATCAGACACAGAAAGAAAAGGAAATATGGTTAACAGTATAAACAGAGTTTTACAATTGCGGAAAGTTGATTCTAAGCTATAGGATTCTAAACCAAGATTGAGGCAACAAGATTTTCTATCCATAATTAAAAAACAGGTTCTGAAGACTGAGTGTGCGAGAAAACTGAACCTGCTATCAGCTGAGGAGGCAAAATTGTTCAGTGCCAGAGCACAAGAGGCTGACTACAAAAATATATGGAACCTCAGATGTGTAAGTAATTAAAAAATCAAACGGGGTGGAGTGGCTGGAAAGAGTTGAATTTCACAAAACAGACAACCGAAAGCTAAGTGATATCAACTTACCTGACTATGATAATGGATTGTATTTGCACACAACACAAGAACACCTCCAATTGGAGATGGTACTGCTAGTAGTTTGTAGGCATCATGGGGCAGATTCTGGAAAATACAAAAGAATGGTATGGTCATGGACTAGAGTTTGCTGAAGGGACTTTTTCAGTAGGTTCAATCTTTCCAGTATGCATAAATTAGCTTGTTATTTTAAGAATTTTTATACTAAAGAAGGAGTCAAAACTTTGAGCATTCTAAACAAATAACAAAAAGAAGAAAAGTCAGCATGCATGTGTCTGATTTCTTAATAGCTTATTGAAAAGCCTCGTCATCTAACAACAGTGAATATACAATAACCTTTTCATATGACTTACAATATAGATTACTAGAGCAAAATTCTTGGGAAGAAGGCTCTTTTTACGATAAAAGAGGAAAATCAAGAACATACAATAGCTGACCAGATGACTGGGTGTTGTTTTAATGTCGTATTGATACTAAGAGCGGAAAGCTTGCAAGTATGGTGCTTCCATGAAATTCGCCCAGCCCAAGTATGCTCTTCTTCCTGAAGGATGACAATTACAGGCTCAATATAACCTGAACAAGACATAAGATGCAAAACACACATAATTAAAAGAAGAAGCGCCACTTAGTTTATTCACATTATGCCTATCTGAAAAACCAGAATATTTAGCTATCGAAAATCTAATTAGCATTTTGTCTTGTTTCAAACTCTCATCATGACCAGAACGCATTATCTATAACGAGGAAATACACAAGTTTGCTGCTACCGAATTGCATCTAGAACCAACAAGTTAGTAAGCTAGATCCATTCAAGGAAACAAGATTTCAGTGCAATTTTAAATGAGAGTTCAACAGCTAAGATACATATACAATCATCATAACATATATTATGATTAACTACAGATTCAGAGATATAAAGAGAAAACCAAAAAATTAGCTGGATCTCCATGGAGAAACCTTGCTTGCTAAACCTACCATGTAGAAAAACAAAATCTTTGACGTGTTTCATTTCCAGATCACGCAAGTTGATTATGTACGATGATTCAACTCGAGCAGAAACTGTCCCTCCAGAACTGAACGGATCATCATCTCCATCTAGTCCAGAACCAGCCTGAAAAACCAAAAGCATAGAGCTCTCTTAAGAAACGAACGAAGGTTAAAAACTTCTAGCAGATGAAGTAACAGTTCAAAAAATGCGGAATCCATCTCGATATGGTGAGCTCTACCATCTCACAAACTAAAATTGAATACAATCTTAAGTTGATCAAGAATGCCAACCTGAGAAGCCTTGAGTATGATCATCTGCAAACCGTAAACAAGAACGCCGCCACATCTGCCTTGAGGATCCACTTTTACCAAGGGGCCTCTTGCAAAAGTCTCTCTTCCTCTTTTCAGATGAAGCCAATCTGGACCCTCAAAACAGTGCATCGAGCTGAAAAGTAACCAAACAGACATTCAACATTGACGCAATCAAGCAAGCAAATACAATTCAGAACATATACAGCTGAAATTTAAAACCTACAAAGGGAAAAAAAAAAAAAAAAACTCTTCACGTACTTCATTCGAAGGCCATGAATCGAATCATCAAACTCAAGAACCGAAACTTTTGCGTCGCGAAACGTCAGTACGATCGAATCTCTCCCCTTAGAAGAAGAATTTCCGCCGCCCATAGGCAATACCGCAATTGACTCGACGTTGCCGTGCAACCTCCAATCCAAAGACACAGTCTCATCACTAACTTTGAAATCAAAAAACAAAAAAAAGTCCAGATTGGAGTTTTTGGTGATGTTTACCTGTAATGGCACACGAGCTCGAGAGAAACACCGGAGACGCCATCCATGACTCCACCGCGTTTAGCGAGCTTCGGATTCCTCGGCTCCTGACTACTATTTCTTTCCTCTTGAACCCTAACCACGTACACCTCAAGGATGTTTGCGGCGGTTATAACGACGTTTGGCACTGCGCCGATGCCGCGTTTGGGAGCAGGCCAGTCAGCTTCGAGGTCATCGCCGGAAACAATCGGAATATGTAGCGTTGTGTCGAAGATTGAGTGAGTGATGTAGCCGGAGGCGCAGTTCTCGACGCCGGTCGGCCAATGCATCATCTTGAAGGCCGCGAAACTCATCTTCTCTACCGAATTAGGGATTCAGAGATTTAGAATTTTACAAGGAGCTGAAAAATTGAATGAAATTAGATTGAGAAGCGACTGAGGAATTAGGGTGCTCTCTAGTCTCTTCCTCCCTCTTGAATGCGTGAGCTAAAATATTTTTTTATGAACATAAAAAGAACAATCTTCATAAACCCCCCACGGTTTTGGTTAATGATTTTAAACTCGAACCAACCCGGCTTCGACCGTAAACCGGATTAGTGTCCCGTGTCCGAGTTGGGTTTTTATAAAATTTAAGAACTATCAAACCCAATAAAAAACTGCTAAAAAACATTAAAATTTTAACTGTTGTAAAATAATACAGTTTCTGATAATAAAGAAATAAGAGAGATGATTTTTTTTTTAATCAACGATTAGAAAGATGAACTTACAGGGAAAGAAAGGGTAAATAAAAGTGTATCAAATGATTTTATATATTTGTTGTTTCATTCATATCACACTTTTCATCTAAAAGAAATTACAACACACCTATTTATAGAAATCAAAAGATAATTAAGTGAAACCACATAATGATTAATGACTAGAGATAATGAGTAATTATTACACTTGTAGAAAAGTGATGAATAATCATATTTTTGAACAATTGTTTTTTATAATTCATCGTCATCTGATTGTTGCATGCTGCTTCGTTAAGAACATTTCCATGAGAAAATTTTATAAAATAAATATCATGATAAAAGGGAAAAGAGTACACCGACACCAACTCCTCCTGAAAATGATGGATATCATCTTCTCTTTGTAGATTTTTGAATATGTCGCATTCAAATACTATGAACATGTTTCTTTAATGTTGTAGCTGGAAACGTCTTTGTGAAGAGATCAACTGTGTTGTCACTTGAGCGTACATATTAAATATCCAATTCTTGATTTTTCTTGAGCTCGTGGGTGTAAGAAATTTTTTTTTTGGATGTTTAAGCTTTGTTTTATCTCTCTTGATATAACATTCTTTGAGTTGAGTAACGCATTATGCATTAGCTTCAAATATTTTTGTTGGCTCCTTGTTGATAATTATTCCACTTGATTCTTGGATGTGATTAGTTATTAATCTTAGTTACACATGTTCTCTAGATGCTTTCATTATGAAAATGCAACCTGTTTTTTTTTTTTTGACATCGAAAATACAACCAGTTTGGTCAAGCTTTATGTAAATATGATATAACCTACATCTGCAAAACCAACTATAATAAACTCGAGATTTCTTTAATAAAATAAACTTAAAATAATTCATACATTCGAGATAACAGAATATATATTTTATTTCGTTTCAATGTGTGTGTGTAGAAGATGAGCTGTATTTTGCAAGTATATTACTAGCTAACGCTATATTGATCAAATATAATTTGCAAGATACATAAACTTGCTGATATTGCTCATATAAAGTATTTCAAAACCAGTTAGCATTTTCTTTACAAATGCTTAAATGTAATATTCTTCAAAGACATTTTAAAATAAAATCTCTTTTATACTTTGTTCAATTTTGGACACCTCATAATAATGTTTTCCTTCCAAGACTTTTATTTCCTAATAACTCTTTAGAAATTCTGATGATTATCAGTCTTTAATTTTATTTTGTAATAATCAATTCTCTACTCTCATACAGAAAACAATTATTTATGATCCTTTTTAATCTTAATTACATCATGCATAATATTTATTTATATTGTTGACAATTATTTTATCTTTGATTCCCTTTTCTAATAACCTAAGCTGCATGGAATCAGAAGCGGGTACGCGGAAGCGGAAGCGTTTGGAAGCGTTGAAGCGAGTTTTTTTTTTAAAAAAGAGGAAGCAGGTATGTATTAGAAACATATATATATATATATATATATATATATATATATATATATATATTATGTGTAAATACTAAATACCAAATATAAAATCATAATAATAAAAAAGTTTGAAACAACAAAATCCAATACATAATTTTAATATCATAATTACCTTCATTCTAGGTCACAATCAGAATAAATCAGAGGTCGACTCTTGAGTTCTACAATCTATACTTCTAATCTCATAACTTTTGATTGTAAATTCATAATTAGTTTTTTTGGTTTTTAGTTTCGAACAAAATGGCTAATAGGCCACTTAACAATTTACAAACCAAAAACAGTTGTTAATTTATGTTTTATTTTAACTTAACGTGGCCAACGCTTCCGATCAACACCGGCTACCCTTCAGATTCAGAATCGCTCGCTTCCACCATGCTTCCAAACACCTCATCTTTGGAATTGCGCTTCTGAGATGATTCCGCACGATTCCGAGCGCTTCTGCTTCCGCTTCCGCTTCCGAAGCGAGAAACGTCTCACCGGCAGCGCTTCCATGCAACGTAGCTAATAACATGGTTAATCGAGATTTCTTTCTCATTCTCATTAATTTCATTCAGATATCTGATTATAGTATTAACCATATCAATAGTCTCTTTATGAGATCCATTCTCTTTTTTAACAATTATATATATGTTGCAAAAGTCAAGTTACTTGCGTGAAGAAATGGAAATAGAGCCCATAATCATTATATCTCACAGTGACAATTGTCGATTTTTACTCTCTATATAAGAAAGTCATATGTATTCGTTTATGCAACACATAAGTAATAATACTCCTCTCTAATATTGGTATAACTCTTTAGTTCCCTCTTCCTCTCTTCCCACAAATTAATAATTTCAATCTTATGATTCGTGTTATATATGATATAATTAAAACACTTTATAATATAATTATAACATGTTATCAGCATGATCACTCTATTAATTATAATATATTATTATTGGAGTGCGGCTTGGTCGCTCTATTATTAATTTACTAATTTTATGATGGTTCCTTAAAACACCATAATGGTCAGTTTAACCGCCTAAACATTTACTTTACTGATTTTGTTATGGATGATTTTGTCACCATAATTTAGTATTTAAATTGATTATTGTGTTTGCATCATTTATTTATTTTTAATAATGGACAACTATGGTCACCATAATTTATATATTAAATAAATCTATATAGATGACTTTAATCAACATTATTAATTCATTTACATTTTAATATGGATGATTTAATCATTGTATATGTTTGTTTATATTATAATAATTAAATATGAATTTTATAACGCTTATATATAAAATTTTCATAATTGGTAAATTTAACTGATTGTTTATTAGAATATCAGATTGATTTATTTTTAAATATCTATCATTCAACGATAACAAATTTTTTTTTGAAAAACCTTTTACCTTTTCAACGACTACTTAACAGTTAATAAACAATATTTTTTCATCTATAAATACTCTTATATATCATTCTTTCAGTTCACTAAAATCCTCTCCAAGCAAAATCATTTACTTTTATTAATAGAAAAATGCTTCGTCTATTTTTAGTTTCTGTAATTAGTTATATTCTTGTTGCCTTTTATTGTTTACCCGTCGGAGAATTTTCTCTGGAACAATATATAATAATTTTTATTTTGATGTTTTATGCATTAATTTTCCTTGTAATCTCGTTACTTATTCATGTACCCCGTATATTCTAAATTTAATAAAATTACTCTTTCTAATTATATTCTTGTTGTTTTATTTTAGAAATTCAATGGCAAACGTTGAGAAGCTCTAATTCTTGGCTCTTGACATCACTGGTGCTAACTATATTTCTTGGACTATGAATGTCGAACTTCATCTCGAGTCTCTAAATTTATAGGAAACTATCAAAGAAAACAACACGTCAACAGCCCAAGGGAAGGCTAAATCAGTGATTTTTCTCAAGAGACACCTAGATGAAAGTATCATATATGACTATGCACACATGAGGGATCCCAAAGAGCTCTGGAAGTCTCTGAAGGATCGTTTTGATCATCAGAAAGACATTACACTTCCACTTCCTTGGGATGAGTGGCAAAGTCTGAGGTTCCAAGACTTCGACAATGTGATGAACTACAATTCCATGGTGTTAGGAATTGTGGCCAAGTTAAGCTATTGTGGTGCGACTATAACGAAATCTCAAATGCTTGAGAAAACGTACACCACATTCCACAAAAACCACATCACCCTGCAACAACAATACCAATTGCATGAATATACCAAATTTTTGGATTTGATTGTGGCGCTCGTAATAGCCGAAAATAATAATGAGCACCTCATCAAGAATCACATGTGATAGGACTCAGGTTTTACCCAATTAATTTACTGCAAGTGCACATATATGCAGATGTAGTATATAGGATTATCGAGTCCCAAAGGAGTAAGTAAACTACACTAAAGAGTTCAGGTTCGGATTAAGCTAAGCAATCAGTAGTGAATGTAATGCGAAACAGCAAAATAAATGTAAGTGGGCGTTTTTATGATTGTTCTTAAAGTTCAGAAAGCTAAATGTGCTAAGTCAGGACAATTCGCAGGTTGAATCCGAGTGTAGAATGCATGCAATTAGGAATGAATTAAAACCGTCTTGAACATGAATCGAAAATATATAACTAAATCAGTTCTCATTGCAGAAGTTATCTATGTTTAAATCACAGAGTTTCAAATCTCTTTGCAAATTCTAAAACCTAAACATGTAGTCATGATCAGGTTCAATTGTTCACAAAACTCCTAAGCCAAATCTCTTTGTAAATAAGCGTTTTGTTCATCTAATACTAGTTCAGGTGATCAATAATGTTCTCACATCTATTAAACAACCTAGGGTTTCGAAATCCAGATGATGTGTCTAAGATATCGATGTGAATGCAAATATAGATGAAGAACCAATGAATTTCCTATCAGTTTAGTAATTCTACAAACTCTTCATCAACCTTTGAAAAGCCCTAACTTAACTAACAAACTACTCAGACATGGTGAATTGAGAAAACATCATGAAAAGAATAGATTGCATAAAAGAAATAATAAATAGAGATAAAGGAGTTCGAAATCTACTCTGAAGGAGTCTAATTTGTCTCTCCAAAAGCTCTGCTATAAATCTCTCTCTAAATCTCTCTAGAAAAATAAGATACAAGATAAAATCCAACAATGGCTGAAAACCTAATACATACAGGGCAAAACACGAGCTGAGGTCTTTTTGTAAATACTGGAAATTATGGATCAAAACTGCAACATCTTCTCCATCTTTTAAAATAAGTTGTGA